ACACACACACACACACACAGCTTGTTTATCTGTTCTTCTGTTGATGGACACTTGGGTCGCTTCCACCTCTTTGCTATTAAGAATAGTGCTGTAGTAAACCTGGGTGTGCAAGTGTCTCTTTAAGGCCTTGCTTTCTGTTCTTTTGTATGTATACCCAGAAGTATTGCTGGATCAAATGGTAGTTCTATTTTATTTTATTTTATTTTTTTTTTTTGAGACGGAGTTTTCCTCTTGTTACCCAGGCTGGAGTGCAATGGCGCGATCTCGGCTCACCGCAACCTCCGCCTCCCGGGTTCAGGCAATTCTCCTGCCCCAGCCTCCTGAGTCGCTGGGATTACAGGCACGCGCCACCATGCCCAGCTAATTTTTTGTATTTTTAGTAGAGACGGGGTTTCACCATGTTGACCAGGATGGTCTCGATCTCTTGACCTCGTGATCCACCCGCCTCGGCCTCCCACAGTGCTGGGATTACAGGCTTGAGCCACCACGCCCGGCTATTTTATTTTATTTTATTTTTTTGAGATGGAGTCTCGCACTGTCACCCAGGCTGGAGTGCAGTGGTGTGATCTCAGCTCACTGCAGCCTCCATCTCCCAGGTTCAGGCAAGTTCCCTGCCTTAGCCTCCTGAGTAGCTGGGATTACAGGCGTGGGTAATTTTGGGTAATTTTAGCCACTATGCCTGGCAAATTTTTTGTATTTTAGTAGAGACAGGATTTCACCAAGTTGGCCAGGATGGTTTCGATCTCCTGACCTCATGATCTGCCTACCTCAGCCTCCCAAAGTGCTAGGATTCCGGGCGTGAGCCACCAAGCCCGGCCTAGTTCTATTTTTAATGTTTTGAGGAATTGCCAAGCCGTTTTACAAAGTGGTTGTACCATTTTCCTTTCCCACCAGCAGTACACAAATGTTCCAATTTCTCTGTATCCTTGTCAACACCTGTTAGTTTTTCTGTGTGTGTTTTTAAAAATTTAGCCATTTTGATGGGTTTGAAGTGATATCTTGTCATTGTTTTGATTTGTATTTCTCTGATGTCTTCAGGACAAACTTTCTGATTGTCACAAGCGTGTCTTTTCTGCTCATCCAATCAACAGCTGTGTCCCCCACTATGGTAGATTTCTCAAATGAAAAATACCTGGTTTGAGTGAAGAAGAGTTTGGGGAAAAAAATAGAAAAAGAAAAAAAATGCCTAGAACTGAGGTTCAACAAAATATGCCAATTGTTAGTGGAACCCAAAACATAGTGAGTTTCCCCAAGCAGTTTTATGTGTGTAGTTCAGTAGTGTTAAGTATGTCTACATTGTTGTGAAAGGTGAGAAGCGTGTGTGTGTTTACGAGTTACTATCGATAGTGTACACATTTTCTCATCTTGTTGATTCTAGTTTGATCATGGTTTATAGAACATCACTAATATTTTGTGACTATAAGTTGTAATAGTGGATCCTTTTATGTGTGGGTATTATTTTAAGCTCAGGGACCATTTCCAGGCACAGAATATGAGTCATGAGTTAGGGTAGATGATAGATGTGATTATAATGACATAGCAAAGGTTTGTGGTTTCACATCTACAAATACAGACTTTAGAACAAACTGTAGATGGGCCGTTTGACTTGTGGACTCTGCCAGGCCACGTTAAGAAAATACCTTTTCTCTAAGCCATAACATATCTCAAGAGTCTGCAATTGCCTCATCCACACAGAGGGCTGTTGGTCACCCCACTTCTCGTGGCAAGGCCTCCTGAGGAGTGGTCACAGGACTTGCCTGGGACCTTGGCAGAGGCGAGCGTGGGGCTGAGCCTGGCCCCACAGCATTGCTCCTGGGAGGATCCCTTCACCATTGTGGCAGTCATTAACGAGCATGCTGGTCTCTGGCCAGCTTCCCCAAATTCTTCCCAGAGGTGACTGTATTCATCGGCTTGCGCTTTGTTTTGGCAAACCCCACCCACAGATGCTAACAGACTGTTCCTTGCTTGTGTCCTGGAGGAAGAGAAGAGCCAGCCTGGAGGAGGTAGATGCTCATTGTAGGGCTTATTTGAAAAATTCTGAGTTTACTTCCAGTGTAACGAGCACCATCTGGCATAGGCAGTATTCAGACACAGTTCTTGATCACATGACAGTGAACACTTTTGTAATATTCACATTTGAGGATTTCTTACTAATCAACATCTTTGACAGTGTAACCAAACACTGTTACATTGTTTGTTCTCTATACGTTTCCATTTTATATGCTAGAAAATAGAAAAATTGCTTATAAACAAATAAAACAAGTGATTTTAAAAAATGACAATTATGCAGGAAAATTATTTGTAAATACTTTTTTTCTCTCTCTCTAAGGGTCCCATTCTATTGCTTAGGCTGGAATGCAGTAGTGCAGTCTCAGCTCACTGCAACCTGTTCCCCCGGGGCTCAGATGGTCCTCCCATCTCAGCCTCCCAGGTAGCTGGGACTACAAGCACGTGTCACCATGCCCAGCTAATTTTTGTATTCTTTTTGTAGAGACAGGGTTTTACCATATTGTCCAGGCTTGTCTTGAACTCCTGGGCTCAGATGATCTGCTTAGCTAGACCTTCCAAAGTGCTAGGATTATAGGTGTGAGCTACCACACTGGGCCATGTAAACTCATTTTTAAAAGCATAAAAGAACAATGGCCAAATAATGGTGGTAAATAACAATGGTATTGGGTGGGGAATTGGGGATTCTATAGAAAATCCAATCGCAGAAACACTTTTGCAGTTGATCATAAAATGTAAGTTCAGTCATCTTGGGCATTCGATATAAAAAGAACAGTAGCAGCTGCATTGTTTTGGACTGCTAGGAAGTCCTTCACTTCTGCCTTGTACTTAAATCCACAAAATTATGCGACAGTTATTTGTGACAGGTGAGTTATCTTCCTTGTGAGACAGGTGGCTTGATAATTGCCACCTCCTTTCTCCAGAATTCTCTCAAGTAGTGCACGGGTTGGTAAATCAGGACACTGCCACTATCTCAGGTAGACTCACACAACTCTGTGGCCAAACGGCACTGAGCCAGTGCTCCTTCCTCCATCTCCAGCCTTCTCCGTCCCTGCAATTGCAGCTGGCAGGCATGGACAGTCACCTTATGGTATATTGGGGTCTATGGTGGCTTTCTTCAGCTCCGTCTCTGCCTGGCGTGCTTCTAGCAACGGGGCAAGTGTCAGCACTACCTCCCGGGCCCAGTATTGACTGGGTTAGTGTGTTTGGGCTCCTGGCCACTCCAGGATGTGGAACTGTGCTGTCAGCAACCTTTTGTGTGTGTGAGGTTTGTTCCTGGGAGGCCCGGCTAGACTCTTGGTCTGGCCAGCTTTTGTCAGTTGCACGCGGTGGGTCAGCAGGTCCAAAGGGTGACTTCAGTATATCCACGTGTCTATGAGTTCTCTGGCCCCAAGTCTTTGTTCTATGCTTGATTCTTTCTATTGCAAAGACCTTAAATGTTTTGTGTGTTCTTTATAGTGCTCAGATTAGATATTACTGCAAAGGGGTGGGAAACCAGGGTTGATCTGCAGGAATTGCAGTCTCCAGAACTTAAATACTGTGGGATCTCTATTTTTCTATTTTTTACCTCTGCAAAGGAGGATATGGGAGATCCGTGGTGCTGAGTGGGTTGTGAGAATTTTGGGTGTTGAAACTGACAACTAGGTGTGGTCTGATGTCTTTTCCACAGAGGGACCTTGTCACTGCATTTGAAAACGGAGACCAGAAGGTATTCTTCGATCTGTGGGAGGAGCACATTCCCAGTTTCATCCGCGATGGGGACTCCTTTGCCCAGAAGCTGGAATTCTATCTCCACATCCATTTTGCCATCTATCTTCTGAAGCACTCTGTGGGGAGACCGGTGGGTTCACCTGGTGATGCGGGTGGGTCTGAGTGGTGTGTTAAGGAGCAGCATTTGCTGTCATTTTCCACGTGAATGTGGATTTCATATGTGGCTATGTTGTCATATTGCTTACAAGGTACAGGTATCTTCTGTCCTGGTGAGTGATTTTCTACCTTATTCCAAGCAGCTGATCTTCTAATTTCTATGGAGATTTAATAATTTCTGTAATCAGAGCTACATTGTTTTTTTAAATACCTCAAGTTTTTGAAAACTCATTAAAATAAAGTTTAGTTGGCAACTTAATATGTAGACATGTATGTCTAAGAGAATACATATTTCAGCTGCATATTAGACCCTATATTAGAACATAGATTTATTTGCTTATTTATTTGAGACAAGGTCTTGCTATGTTGCCCAGGCTGGTCTTGAACTCCTGGGTTCAAGCAGTCCTCCCACCTGGGCCTCCCAAAGTGCTGGGATTACAGGCATGAGCCACTGTCCCTGGCCAGAACATACATTTAAACTCAAGTGGTGGAAAAGTGTCTGTTTGTGGAAAGTCCCTTTGGGTTATAGGTTGAATTTAGGGTCTGCAGTCTTTTCCCAAATGGGGCAGGAGATGGGAAGAATGGAGAGGGCTAGAATGTCAAGCTGCTTCGGTGGCTGAGCTTTGAGTGCAGAGGAAATGACAGAAGGGCAGCAGAGGCGAGCTGGCATTTGACGCTGCACGTTAACTCCTTCCCCGCGGACCAATGTGACGCATGAGGATGTCAGAACACCAAAGGCGAGGACAGTGGTGGAGGGAGCGGCAGACCATACATTGTAGTAGCTGTTCTTGGAAGGCGTTCCTCAGGTTATTACTCTTGCAGGGAAGATCACAGGAGATTTTCATTTTCTGTTTGTATTTGTGTTTCTTCTTGGTTCTTGATTTTTCTTTTTTAAAATGTTTATTTCTATTTTGAAAATGTTCAGTTTTGATATAAGATATAAATCAATAAACGTTATCTGTTTTTAGAGTCTAGGGGTCCAAATGTTATCTGTTTTTAGAGTCTAGAGGTCCAAAAACATTATCTGTTTTTAGAGTGTAGGGGTCCAAATGTTATCTGTTTTTAGAGTCTAGGGGTCTCATGGTACACCATCAGACATGATTGTAAGAACAGGCTTAGCCTGTGGAGGAGACTGTGAAGGCCGTGATTGGTAGAGCCAGCGGGGGGCAGGGAAGCAGAGCCCCAAATTCACCTCGGTTTTCTCATTGAGGGCCAAGAGGAGACAGAAACCCCGAAAGGGGAATGGACTTGCCTGGGATATACATGGAATCGTGATGGAGAGCAAGCCCAGCCCTTAGCACAAGAAAGGAAAGGAATGATGCAGAAGCTTCTGTTTCAAAACACCATAAAGAAATGCTGTTAACCTTTAGAAACCGTGCCTGCTGGAGTCATGGGAATGCAGACAGATACTTGCTTATATCTGAAAAATGGAAGCAATGTGTATATCTAATAATGGGGAAATTAGTTAAATAAATATGACAGAGAAGGTGAGGTTTTATCCTGCCAATAAAAATGTTTATGAAGAATTTTAAGGATGTGAGAAAATGGCAGTAATAAAGTTAAATAGAAGCATATTGAACTGTATATATAGTTCTCTGATCTTCCTGACAAAGTTTCATTAAGGGGGAAATTTAGGGTGGATGGTAGAATACTACACTGTGCACCTGCCAGACAGATATTTATTTCAGATATAAATAAGTATCTGTTTGCATTCCCATGACTCCAGCAGGCACTGGACACCAGCGACACGACTGGGACAGAAGGAGCCTTGGAGAGAGGATGGGGTGGGCAGGTGGACTAGGCATTGATCTGGAGACCTCAAATCAGTGTTTTCCTTCTTCCAGGACAAAGAGGAGCTGGATGAAAAGATTTCTTATTTCAAAACCTACCTGGAGACCAAAGGGGCAGCCTTGAGCCAGACCACGGAGTTTCTTCCTTTCTATGCTCTTCCTTTTGTTCCCAACCCTATGGTACACCCCTCATTTAAAGAACTCTTCCAGGTGAGTGTCAGCTTTTAACTCTTGTGTCTGATCCTGGGCGACACTGGTTTCACCTTCTGTATGCTGGGGGTTTGTGAATGATGCTTTGAAAAACTAAAATTTGATTTATGTTATTATTACTATTTTTAATTATAGCCATAATTTGTTTAGTCATCCTCCCATTGGGTAGTTAGTTAGGTTTGATTTTTGCCATCCTATATTAGGAGTGGTTAACTTGTACATACATTAAATTTGGAAGAGTTATAGTAATTAACACTTTGTAATAGCAAAAACTAAGTACAATCTAATTGTGTACCAACAGGAGCATGCATAACTACATTGTGTTATATTCACACAATGGAATATTATACATCAATGAGAATGAATGAACTAAATCACACATTGATGTAATCTTAAGCCACATATAAGAGAGGACATGCTATGTGATTCCCTTTATGTATACATCAGAGCAAACAAAAGTAGTTTTTAGGCATATATGTGTACCAGTGTTAAATGTTACAGAAAATTGGCTGGTCATGGTGGCTTATGCCTGGGAGGCCAGGGTGGGTTGATCACTTGAGGTCAGGAGTTCGAGACCAGCCTAGTCAACATGACGAGACCCCCCCCCATCTCTACTAAAAGTACAAAAATTAGCTAGGCATGGTGGCACACACCTGTAATTTAAGCTACTTAGGAGGCTGAGGTAGAAGAGTTGCTCAAACCCAGGAGGTGAAGGTTGCAGTGAACCAAGATCACCACTGGACTCCAGCCTGGGCGACAGTGAGACCTTATCTCAAAACAGGAAAAAAAAAAGTTACAGAGGCCGGGCGCGGTGGCTCACACCTGTAATCCCAGTACTTTGGGAGGCCGAGGCGGGTGGATCACGAGGTCAAGAGATCGAGACCATCCTGGTCAACATGGTGAAACCCCGTCTCTACTAAAAATACAAAAAATCAGCTGGGCATGGTGGCATGTGCCTGTAATCCCAGCTACTCAGGAGGCTGAGGCAGGAGAATTGCCTGAACCCAGGACGCGGAGGTTGCGGTGAGCCGAGATGGCGCCATTGCACTCCAGCCTGGGTAACGAGTGAAACTCCGTCTCAAAAAAAAATAAAAATAAAAAAATAAAGTTACAGAAAGCAAGGATTCTTACCTGTTCGAATGGCAACTTTAAACATTTTACATTATCACACATTGAATTGACTTTTCAGCATGCATAGTTCTATGAGTTTTAACACACATGTGTTTTGTTTGTTTGTTTGTTTGAGACAGAATCTTGCTCCATCGTCGAGGCTGGAGTGCAGTGGCGCATTCTCAGCTCACTGCAACCTCTGCATCCCGGGTTCAAGCAATTCTCCTGTCTCAGGCTCCCGAGTAGCTGGGACTACAGGCACCTGCCACCACACCTGGCTAATTTTTGTATTTTTAGTAGAGATGGTGTTTCACTTTGTTAGTGAGGCTGGTCTCAAACTCCTGACCTTAGGTGATCTGCCTGCCTTGTCCTCCCAAAGTGCTAGGATTACATGTGTGAGCCACTGTGCCCAGCCATAAAGTCGAAATTTAATCTGTTTTCTTCCAGAACATTCAAGGAACTTAGAATGCATTACCTTCATTTATCTCCTTCCCAATTTATATGCTTTTTTTTTTGCCAAGTATCTTAGTTATATATTTTAAATGTACAGATAGGAAGTTTTACTATTTTATGGAGTCAGTGTGTGTAGATTTCCCTTATAGCTACCAGTATTTTTGTTCATCATTCCATCATGTGTTAAGGACCTTCCATCTGGGATAGTCGTCTCCTCTTATTTAAGTACATTTCTTTAAAATCCCCTTTCCTTGAAGATCTGTTCTTTCAGTTCTTGCTTGATTGCAGTGTCTGTTGCTTTCTCAGATAGGATTTAGAATACTAGGTTTACAGTTATTTTCTCTCAGTACATTCAAGATACAAAGCTTAGTTAGCTTGCGTCGTCTCCTAGCTTGCATTGCTGCTGTTTTGAAGTTGGCTGTCAGTCTAATTGCTGTTTCTTTGTAGGTGATCTATCTCTTTTCTCTGGCCTTTGGGATTGTATCATTTCCCTACAGTGTTTCTAGGGATAGATTTCTATTTTTACTTGGGATTTGTTGAGTTTCCTGGATGTGAAGTTTTGTGTCTTTCAACTACTCTGGAAAATTCTCAATTTGTATCTCTTCATATATTACCATTCTCTTTATTATCTCCTAAATATCTGATTAAATGTATATTTGACTAATGATATCCTCCACATTTTTTTCATTAAAAAAATTGTTGTAAAATACACATAACATACAATTTACCATTTTTACTTTTTTTGTTGTTGTTGTTGTTAAAGAGACGGGATCTCACTCTGTCCCCCAGGCTGGAGTACGTGATTATTGCTCACTGCAGCCTCAACCTCCTGGGCTCAAGTGATCCTCCCACTTCAGCCTCCCAAGTAGCTAGACTATAGGCATGCACTGCCACCATTTTGACCGTTTCTGAGGGTTTGGCTGAGTAATGCACGTCATTGTGCTCGCCATACCTTTTAACATCTTATGTTTTCCCTCTCTTAATCTCTCTGGCTGTGTTCTGGGTGATTTCTTCACATCTGTCTTCCAGTTCACAAACTCACCCTCCAGCTATTTAGTTTGTTCTTTAACTTTTTCATTGAATTTGTAACTTCAATTAACTTTTTTTTTTTTTTTTTTTTAAATTGAGATGGAGTCTCGCTCTGTTGCCTAGGCTGGAGTGCAGTGGCCTGATCTTGGCTCACCAAAACCTCTGCCAGCTGGGTTCAGGTGATTCTTGTGCCTCAGCCTCCTGAGTAGCTGGGACTACAGGTGCATGCCACCACACCCAGCTAATTTTTTGGTATTTTTAGTAGAGACAGGGTTTCACCACATTGGCCAGGCTGGTCTTGAGCTCCTGACCTCAGGTGATCCTCCCTCCTCAGCCTCCCAAAGTGCTGGGATTACAGGCATGAGCCACCATGCCCAGCAACTCTTTTTTATAGAAGTCTTTTTTTGTTGTTTATTCAGATTTGCTGGGACATTTTTATAGCCTCTCATTCCTTCCTCTCTTTTATTTCTTTAATGCATTAAAAAATTCATGTTCTCTGTTAATTTGAAAAACAGAAGTCTGTAGATTTGATCCGGTATTTCCCTTTCCCCTTCCCCTCTTTTCCCCTTATGCTTCCCCTTTCACATTTTAACGGTGAGTTCATTTTACTTGGGGCTGAGGGAATTTTTTTGAGGCCTAGGAGTAGTTGGATACCTCTAGAAAAAATTTGCATTTGTGTCTTCAGTCACCTGGGGCATTACCAACCTAGGACTATTTTTGTTTTTCTTTGACGATTTTATTTATTTTATTTTTTATTTTTATTTTTTTGAGACGGAGTTTTGCTCTTGTTACCCAGGCTGGAGTGCAATGGCGCGATCTCGGCTCACCGCAACCTCCGCCTCCTGGGTTCAGGCAATTCTCCTGCCTCAGCCTCCTGAGTAGCTGGGATTACAGGCACGTGCCACCATGCCCAGCTAATTTTTTGTATTTTTAGTAGAGACGAGGTTTCACCATGTTGACCAGGATGGTCTCGATCTCTTGACCTCGTGATCCACCCGCCTCGGCCTCCCAAAGTGCTGGGATTACAGGCGTGAGCCACGGCGCCCGGCCTCTTTGACGATTTTAAATTAAATTATTTGCTGGAGGTTTTGGGGACCATACAGATAGAGTCAATTTCAGCTGCAATCTTTTATGGGACTAAGGGTAATTATGAAGTCTCAAACGAGGTTTTTTCCTCCTTCCACCTATTGTCATGGTCAAGGTAGATATGTTTTCTTGCTGTCCACTTCTATATGGTGGGCTTATTTATCCTTAACCTTTTCCTGTTGGAAAGCCCTTTGGAACTTTGTGTCGAATCCCCTGTTAGATTACCTACCGTGAGCAGATCTTTTTGTCTTCCATCCTCTGTATTCTTAGAACTGAAGTTTGGGGTCTTCAGGAATCTGCAGTTATCCTTAGGGCAAAAACTGCCTTTGCTGTCTTAACTCTGGTGGGTTCCTGCTTTGACTTCACTTTAGCCACTGTGGTTTCTTTTTGCCACTCAGTTGTTTTCATTGTATTTTTTTTTTGAGACAGTGTTTCACTCCATCACCCAGGCTGGAGTACAGTGGCATGATCTTGGCTCACTGCAACCTCCATCTCCTGGGTTCAAGTGATTCTCCTTCCTCAGCCTCCCAGGTAGCTGGGACCACAGCCATGTGTCACCATGCCTGGCTTTTTAAATTTTTGGTAGAGACGGGATCTCACCATGTGGACTAGACTGGTCTCAAACTCCTGACGTCGGGTAATCTGCCCACCTCAGCCTCCCAAAGTGCTGGGATTCCAGACGTGAGCCATTGTACCCGGCCTCATTGCTTTTCAGTCTGTCTCTTCTACAGTGTTGACAGAAAAGGAAATTCCTTTGTAGAGATTGTAATGAGCTCTTTTCTGCAAACTCAGTTTTTGTCAGTGAGCATCTTCTTACAGAAATATAGGTATTCCTATAATTGATTGCTTTAGGACAAACTTCTGAGCACCTATTATGTTCCAAGGACATAAGTTAAGCTTAATTAGTGAATATTTAAAGAAATGGAAGAGACTCTTGCTGGCTCTGCAAGAAAGAAGAGTCAACAGGTAAACAAAGGGAGTTGAGCTCTGGGCCCTGCCCCCTATTCCACAAGGATAATCCTGCTTTGATGCATTTCATGTATTAGGGTTCTAAGGAAGATTTGTGAATGATAAAAAGGGTATTGCTGTTGTCAGACAATCACTAATCTACTTTAAAGTCTCCCTTCTGCACGGGAAGACACTGTGCTATAAACAGGTTGAGGGGCTTTTCCCAGACAATTCAGCAGAGCCAGCACTGTGCTTCTCCTGGCTCCTTACGCTTCTTTTTGGAAGCTGGGTAGTCAGGTGCCCAGCAGACGTGGAAATGTTCTTATTCTGAGTTGAAAGCACAGAAAAAAATAAGAATGGTCAATAAAAAAAATAGGTGACTCGTGTCCATAGAGGCTTTATTCCAGTCTTATCCCTTCATTAGCAGAGCATCATAAAGTAATTATATTGAAAGCACATATTTGTTGGTTATACAAAATAGTAATCAACAACAGAGCAATCTAACTGGAAGTCTGCGTGTCCCGAGAGCCTCCGCTGTGTGGTCAAGCATAGACAACCTGGAGTTGTAGCACCAGAGTGATTTCCCTAGGGGTGCCCTAGCAAAGTACCACAGGCCGGATGCCTTAAGACAGCAGACATTCATTGTCTTACTGTTCTGGGGGCTACAAATCTGAAAGCAAGGTGTTGGTAGGGCCATGCTGTCCCTGAATCCTAGGGGAGGGTCCTTCCTTTCCTCCCCTGGTTTCTGGTAGCCCAGGTGTTCTATGGCTGTGGCAGCATCATTCCAGTCTCTGTCTCCATCTTCACATGGCCATCTTCCTTCTGTGTCTGTGTCTAAAGTTACTTCTTCTTGTAAGGACACCGGTCATATTGGATTAGGGACCCACCCTACTCCAGTATGACCTTATCTTTAATTACATCTGCAATGACCCCATTCCCAATGACCTCATGTTCTCAGGTACCAGGAGTTAGGATTTCAGCATTTATTTTGAGGAAAACACAGTTCAATCCCTAACAACACACACCTTATAAATAAAGGTATCTGTAGTATCAGGGAATTACAAATTTTTTTTTAAATGTAAGAACTCTCTGGTTGGGCACAGTGGCTCATGCCTGTAATCCCAGCACTTTGGAAGGCCAAGGCAGGTGGATCACTTGAGATCAGGAGTTCTTGACCAGCCTCGCCAACATGGTGAAACCCCATCTCTACCAGAAAATGTAAAAACTAGCCCGGCGTGGTGGCACTCACCTGTAATCCCAGCTACTCAAGAGGCTGAGGCAGGAGAATTACTTCAACCTGGGAGGCAGAGGTTGCAGTGAGGCAAGATTGCGCCACTGCACTCCAGCCTGGGTGACAAGGCAAGACTCCGTCTCAAAAAAAAAAAAAAAAAAGAACTTTCTGCTCAACTGGCAGCATTTTTTCCAGAAGTCAGATGACATACTGGCTAGAATGATTGGGTGGGGTGGGAGATGTGGGGGAGGACACAGAGCTGGAGAGGCAGAGACCGTGGGGAAGGATGGAAAGGTCTGTGGGCCACGGGGCAGCAGCCGAGAGGACAGTGGATATGAATTTTTAGTGGTTTAGTTACTTTTTTGTGAAACTTCTTGGTTTGGATAGAAGATATTTCTGTATAAAGACTACAAGGAAAATTGTCCTGAGACAAAGATTGTTACTTGTATTTTTTCTTATTTTGTTTAAGTCGTTAATTTTTTCTTCTTAATGAGCATTATTTGAGATAAAGAATTTATTTTTAAAGGACAAATCAAGGTAAGAATATATCATAATTCTTCACATGATGGGGTATTTGTGGCAAAAAAATAGCTTCTGTCCTTTCTTCTTATCTAGATGAGGTTTGTAGAAATGAGTCCCTTTCTTGGGGAAACTCTCAGTAACTTGGTGAGAATTGTTTATGTTAGGCCTCCCAGTGCTGTGCATACCTAGACTGTGCTGAACTATTTTTGGATTCAACCTAATAATGTTCCTTGTCACAATTGTGTTTAAATCACATGAAATATTCAAATCATGTTCAGGGTTATTTATTCTCTGTTTATGAAAGAACTCTATTTTTTCTTCCTGCTGTGAGCACTTGAATCTTCTGTAAATGAATGGTCAGATGTCCTAAACCCTGTTTTTCACAGCCTCACATCACTGACAAGACACTTTGCTTTTGGTTTCAATCACTGTGCAGGGTTTTGTAGCCTAATGACTTCAACTTGATGACACCATTGGTACTTAGTAATCTAATGTTTGCATTTTTGTTCCTTTGCTTTTTTCTTTAGGATTCCTGGACTCCAGAGTTAAAGGTGAAGTTGGAGAAGTTTCTAGCTTTAATATTTAAAGCCAGCAACACGCCAAAGCTCTTAACAATATATGTATCCTTTTGGAGCAAATAGAGACCCCCTATGGTTTTAGAGCAGATTTTATTTAGAGTAGCACACTGGCTTAGGTAGCCTCATGAAATAGGGTTAATTAATAGTGTGACTTTCATATTTACAAGGTGAATGAATCATTAGAGGCAGGTCATGTAGAGATCAACTTCTATGTCATTGGATCTCTGAGATTGTCTTTCCTGTTAGGTCTTATTTTGATATCATGTGGCAAGAAGCTGTCTTGGTAGAAGAGAAAGTTTGTCTTCTTATAAAAGAACTCCTTGGGATAATTGTCCATTTCTAGAAGGTCACTTAACCACTTTCAAGGCCTTCAGGCCATGGCATATGGATTGGGTGACCAACTAACTTGTCATTCAAATTGGGACTTCTTTTTAAATAACTTTATTGAGGTGTAATTTACATACTGTAAAATCTACCCATGGTAAGTGTACAATTTAATGCTTTTTGGCAAATGTACAGATTTGTACAGCATCACCACAGTCCAGTTCAAACTGGGACACTTTTGAGAGTAAAAAGGGGCACTAACTGGTCAGAGTTCCAGGGTGACAGGTGTAAATAGAGCCTGTTTCAGGAAGAGCAGAATATTAGGTCACCCAACCCATGGGAGACTAATTTCCCAAAGGTTATTAGTCTTTAAAGACACATATCTCCTTTTATTTGGAATAAAAATGTATCCAAAGTTATTTCATAACAAGAACATAATGTTTTGAATTATAAAATTGGTGATTGTTTTGTTTAATTTCATGAAAAATTTAGGCTACTTTGCCACATAATACCTTCTGCTTCCTTTCTAACTCCAAAGCATTTGACTTTCTTGGCCTGACTGAAGTTTTCTGTCGCTAGGATTCCATGCCATGTTTCTACTTGAGCTTCCTAAGCTTTCCCTGTTGCCTGGATTCAGATTCCTCAGTTGGCCTCAGCCAGACAGACTGATCTACAGCTCTCCTCTCTGCTTTTATATCCTTAAGGCTTTTGTTTAAATTCTTCTCTTTACCTACATACCACAATGTTTGCATATCCAGTCCTTTTTCTTCCTAGGGTTCCATATGCAGTGATTTTCAATGAAATTAGAACTTTCCTAGCTTGGCTTGTAATTATTTGAACATGATTTAAAAAAGTATTTCTCAGCTTAATTTTTTTTTAATACTGCTCCTTGTGGAATAGGGCTACGCCATGGTGTGCCCAGAGTAGCTCAGCTTAAAAGTTATGGGTGCCAATATGTTAAGAATCTAAACAAAATGATTTACATGGTAAATTATATTAGTTACATTAATAATAGTATGTTCAAAACAGTACCTGACTGGGCCCCTTGGCTCACGCCTGTAATCTCAGCACTTTGGGAGGCTTAGGCAGGAGGATTGCTTGAGTCCAGCAATTTGAGCCCAGCGTGGGCAACATGGTGAAACCCTATCTCTGCAAAAAGTACAGAAAGTTAGCCGAGCATGGTAGCATCCATGTGACTGTATTCCCAGCTATTTGGGAGAGACTGAGGTGGGCAAATCACCTAATCCCGGGAAGTTGAGGCTGCAGTGAGCTGTGATGGTGCCGTTGAACACCAGCCTGGGCAATATAGTGAGACCCTCTCTCAAAAAAATAAGAATAAAAAAATGAATAATAATAGTACCTATTTCATAGGAAGAGTATGAAGATCGAGTTAATACATATAACAGTCCAGTATATAGTAAGTGCTTGATAACAATTGGCTACTGGCATTAGAGTTTTTAAGTACCGTCACCTTTCATCCTGTTCAACATGCTTTGACGCATATGCTAAAATACAGCAGATAACTGTAAATAACATTCTAATATTTTCCTTGTTACATGAAAATATTTGCAGTTTATTTTAATACATTAAGCTTCTACTATGAGCCAAATATTGTTCTAGGCTTTAGGGATATAAAGAAAAGGCCAAGAGATAATTCTGTTAGCTAAATTGAAGCTTTGAACAATAAAATGGGAGTCTGTGAGGCAAACGGAGGAGGGGTGGGAATTACAGGTAGAGGAGACATCCTGTGCAAAGGCTCTGAGACAGTACCTGGGAAGCTAAATAATTTAATACTGCTGGAGCAGGTTATTGACATAGACAAAGGCAGAGACGAGGAAGGGCCTAGGTCATAAAGGTTCATGCCAAGTCCTATAAGGAATGAGGAGCCTTTGAAGCATTTTAAGCAGGAGAATAACAGTTGTATTTGCAAAAAAAATCACTTTTTGCTTCCTGATTATAAAATCAACTGTGTTTCTTATAGAAAATTTGGGAAGTACAGAAATGTATTTGTATACAGACATACACCCAAAAGTATATAATATTTGTAATATACATAGGTACATATATGTGTATGTATATTTCTTTTTATCAAAGGAAGAGACCATCTTCGCATGTCATTAAATAGTCTTCAAAAGCAGGTGAAGTTCCCTCAGAGGCTTAAACATAGAGCGACCACGTGACCCAGGAATTGTAGTCCTTGCTGTATACCCAAGAGAAATGAAAACACACATATGTCCACACAACAACCTGTACACAAATGTTCATAGTAACATTATCCATAATAGCCAAAAAAAGGCAAACAGCCGAAATGTCTATCATCTTTTGAATGGATAAACAAACTGTGGAATTGTCCAAATGATGGAATATCATCCAGCCATAAAAAGGAATGAAGCACTGATTCATGCTGTAACATGGATGATCCTTGAAAGCATTATGCTAAATGAAAGAAGCCAGTGACTGGGACCAGGTATTATATGACTCTATTCATAAAATGTCCAAAAGGCAAATCTGGAGAGATAGAAAAGTAGATTAGTGGCTGCCAGAGGCTGGGGAGAGCAGGGAAAATGTACTCACTGCCACTGAGTACAGGGTTTCTTTTGGAGGATGATGATGAAAATGTTCTAAAATTGATTGTAGTGATGGTCTCACACCTCTGAAAATACCGAAAACCATTGAAATGTTCTCCCTCTCCCTCTCTCTCTCTCTCTCTCTCTCTCTCTCTCTCGATGGAGTTTTGCTGTTGTCACCCAGGCTGGAGTGCAATGGTATCACCTCGGCTCACTGCAACCTCCACCTCCCAGGTTCAAGTGATTCTCCTGTCTCAGCCTCTTGAGTAAATGAGATTATAGGCACCTGCTACCTCACCTAGCTAATTTTTTTGCATTTTTAGCAGAGACAGAGTTTTGCCATGTTGGCCAGGCTGGTCCCAAACTCCTGACCTCAGGTGATCCAACTGCCTCAGCCTCCCGAAGTGCAGGGATTATAGGTGTGAACCACCATGCCCAGCCTGAAAGGCACACTTTAAATAGGTGAATTATACAGTATGTGAATAAACCTATTACAAGGAGAGAGATCCAAGACGGCTGATCACTAGCAGCTCGGGATTGTAGCTCCCACTGAAAGAGCAGAGAACGAGAGGACGCCACACTTTCAGATCAATTTTTGTTGCCCATGCACCAGGAGATTCCCAGCGGAGGAGCCCCACGTGTCGCCAGCGCGACTCTTGAGGTCGGTGAGGCGGTTTTGCTGCTGCCTTGGAGCGACGGTTCTTGGTGCAGAGTCAGAAAGGCACCATCAATCTTAAAGCCGCTGTTTTGGCCGGCACAGTGGGTTGCTCAGATTCTAGCGCCGGGAATCAACAAGTTGGACATCCATTCAGAAACCCAGCTATAGAGACGGTGATTATAAAGACCACAGATGGATAAATCTATAAAGAAGGGAAGAAAACAGCCTAAAAAGGCTGAGAATACCCAAACTCAGAACGCCTCTCCCTCTACAGGGGATCACAGTTCCTCATCAGCAACAGAACAAGGCCTGATGGAGAAAGACTGTGTTCCATTAGCAGAAGCGGACTTTAAAAAGTGGATAGTAAGAAACTTCTGGCAATTAAAAGAACTTGTTCTAACCCAATGCAATGAAACTAAGAACTTTGAAAAAAGGTTTGACGAAATGTTAAAAATAACACACAATTTAGAGAGGAATATAAGTGAATTAATGGAGCTGAAAAATATAACACGAGAACTTCGCAAACTATGCACAAGTTTTAACAGCCGAATTGATCAAGCAGAAGAAAAGATATTAGAGGTCAAAGACCAACTTTATGAAATAAAACAAAAAGACAAGATTAGGGAAAAAAGGATAAAAAAGAACGAGCAAAGTCTCCGAGAAATATGGGACTATGTGAAAAGACCTAATCTACGATTGATAGGTGTACCTGAATGTGACGAAGAGAATCAATCCAAGCTGGAAAATACGCTTCAGGATATTATTCAGGAAAACTTTCCCAACCTAGCAAGGCAGGACAATAGTCAACTCCAGGTAATACAGAGACCACCACAAAGATATTCCTCAAGAAGACCAACCTCAAGGCACATAATCGTCAGATTCACCAGGGTTGAAATGAAAGAGAAAATACTGAGGGCAGCCAGAGAGAAAGGTCAGGTTACCCATAAAGGGAAGCCCATCAGACTCACAGCAGATCTCTCAGCAGAAACCCTACAAGCTAGAAGAGAGTGGGGGCCAATATTCAACATCCTTAAAGAAAAGAACTTTCAACCCAGAATTTTACATCCAGCCAAACTAAGCTTCATAAGCGAAGGAAAAATCAAATCTTTTGTGAACAAGCAAGCACTCAGAGATTTCATCACCACCAGGCCTGCTTTACAAGAGCTTCTGAAAGAACCGCTACAAATAGAAAGGAACAACCAGTATCAGCCTTTCTAAAAAATGCCAAAAAATAAAGAACATCAACATAATTAAGAAATCACATCAATTAATGGGCAAAACAGCCAGCCAACATTAAATGACAGCATCAAACTCATATATATTGTTATTAATTCTAAATTTAAATCGACTAAATCCCCCAATCCAAAGACTCAGACAGGCAAAAAATGCCAAGACCCATTGGTATGCTACATCCAGATCCATCTTACATGCAAGGATACACAAAGACTCAAAACAAAAGGATGGAGAAAAATTTACCGACCAAATGGAGAGCAAAAATAAATAAATAGAAAGCAGGAGTTGCAATTTTTGCGGATAAAATAGACTTCAAAGCAACAAAGACCAAAAGAAGCAAAGAAGGATATTACATAAAGATAAAAGGATCAATGTAACAAGAAGAGCTAAAGATCCTGAATATATATGCACCCAATACAGAAATACCCAGATATATAAGACTTATAAAGAGACTTGGACTCTCACACAATAACAGTGGGAGACTTACAGATCAATGAGACAGAAAGTTAACATCGATATTCGGGACTTGAACTCAGATCCGGAACAAGTAGATTTAATTAACATTCATAGAACTCTCCACTTTAAATACACAAAATATACACTGTTATCAGTACTACATCACACGTATTTACAGGTTTAAATGAAATATTGGTTGGCTGCTTGTTAATTATTTTCTTCCCTCATTTTTTTTTTAATGTCTCTATTATTAAACACAATTACAGGCATACCCATTTTTAGACTGCATTCTAGCCCGGGCAATAAAGCAACACCCCTGTTCTCTCTCCCTCTTCCTCTTCCTGTTTCTTCCTTTCCTTTATTCTTTTTTTTAAATTCTTTTTCTTTCTTTCTCTCTTTCTTCCTCTAAAAATAAAAAAAAAAACTTATTACAAAAAAATTAAGGAAAAGTTTAAGACAAGGGAAAAGAAACATGTTAAGTAACTGCCTTCAGTCATGCAGCCAGACATGTGGGAACTGAGATTTGAACCCAGGCAGTCTGGCGCCAGAGTTCGTGGTCTTAGCCACTGTGCTGTGATAGGCTTTCATTGCAATATCAATTTCCTTAGGATAAAGCTTTGAATTGAAGTTAGAGTTGAAGTATGTATAAAACCAGATTTGCATTTTTAGTAGAATGTCTTGGGAAGGCCTTTGGAAGGGCCAGTTAGGAGGCTGTTGAAATAGTGCAAGACTTGAATTCAGACAGTGCTAATTGAGATGGGGAGAACAGGACTTACTTGGGAGTGAGGCGAATATGGAGAAGTTGCTTAGCTATTTATAGCAACAGCTGGAGCTGGCCTTCGCGGTTCCGAGAACCCTCTGTTTCACCATGCTGAGGTGCTTTCTCACATTAGCTGCAGGGTGTCTGATAACCCCGAGTCCCGTTCCCGGAATGCCTGTTTTCCTGAACTTCTTTGTCATCACAGAAGGAGAGTGGACAAAGTAACAAAGGTAAATCATCTAGATTTAAATTTGTCTAAGAACAACTTTGCTAATACAAGTTTTAAGTAGTAAGATAGGTGCAAAGATGGAGAGAATTCATGATTTTGGCTTTAAGTGTCCAAATATTTCTGAAGGGCTTTGCAGTCATATCGATCTGCAGTTCTTGAGGCCCTTTTCAGGAGGGCTAGCATTGTTAGTTTCGCCTTGTATATCAGATAGCTAAGCCTCAGAGAAATGAAGAGAATCCAAGTAATATCCCAAAGGGAAAGAACTGCAGCAGCACACGAACCCTGGAAGACACAGGGCGGCATGGGTGAGGAAAGAATCATTTTAATTGTTTTAATATATTTAACTTTTACCTTGAACTAGTCAACTGGGGTCTTCAAAGAAATATGGTGTACCCATTCTTATCAAGCATTTTCCATTCCAAAGTAGGAATTCTAGTTTGTTTGTTTGTTTGTTTGTTTCATTTTTGTGATGGAGTCTTGCTCTAACACTCAGGCCAGAGTGCAGTGGCGCGATCTCGGCTCACTGCAACTTCTGCCTCCCAGGTTCGGGCAATTCTCTTGCCTCAGCCTTCCGAGTAGCTGCGACTACAGGTGCACACCATCACACCCGGCTAGTTTTTGTATTTTTAGTAGAGACAGGGTTTTACTATGTTGGTCAGGCTGGTCTCGAGCTCCCGCCCGCCTTGGCCTCCCAAAGTGCTGGGATTGTAGACGTGAACCACCGCGCCCGGCTGAATTCTAGTCTTAAGTTTGTAGCATAAACTGTTATTTTTCCATGGTCAATAATTTTTACCAGAACTATTCACTTTTGAGTAAGGTGAGAAAACTATAATTAATATGAAGTTGGTGGCCACAGCTGGAGAACTGTGCCTCAAGTTTGCTTTTGATACTATATTTTGAAAGCTGCTTCCCTTTGGTGAGTATTGCTAGCATAACCCTCAGTTCCCAGCAGGTGGAGTGTGACTACAGGAGATCTTGTTCCATGCCCCTTCAAAGCAGAGTCATGTCAGAGGATTTCAGAACTTCCTGCCCTTGCTTTTTCCTATGTGGTTTTTTTGGGGACGGAGGGGAGTGAAACCCTTTTTAAAAAAGGAAGCATTAATCGGTAAATTATTTAGCTCTTTGCTCACCAGGGAATTGGCAAATGAACAGTGGGGTTTGTCAACCTCAGGGAGAGCTTGGGTTTGGTTTTGTCACTCCAGATGGCTTTGGTAGCATCAGCCTTTGAGGAGTCTTTGGTGGCTTGTTTTTCCTCTTGGTAGCCTCGAGTATCCCCATCTCCGCCGTTCTAAGAGTGCGACTGGTTCTGCCAGCCATGCTGACCCTTCTGTCACTCAGAGGGGACAGGCCCTGCTGACCCTTCATGGAGGAGCAGGGCTACAGATGTGGCCCCACAGGATCAACCTAGACTGTTCCAAGGGTTGCAGGAATGCCCTGAGTCTTGGAGCTCCCCAAGGTTGCCCTGCCCCCAGCACAGTTTGTGGAAGAAGAGTCCCAGGTCACGTCGTCAGCTCTGCAGGCCTGCTCTCTGTGTTCATCTAGGCCCGGGCCTTGGCCAGGATGTGTCCTAAGCCAGTTTGCTCACCTTAGCACAGCCAGCATCTTCAGCGGGGCCTTTGGATCTTGCCCTGCAGCGCCTGGAAATGCGCCTCAGTCCACTGTTCCATTGCTGCCTGATAGACCATCCTGACTTGGTGGCGCAGAACAATGACATTCACTTAACGTGGTGACGATGACCCTACATGGTCTGAGAGCTGTGGGTTCAGTTAAGCTGTTCCCCCACAGCAGGTCTCACGGTGCAGTCAGGTGAAGTGGGGTGGGGCCAGCTCCAAGGCACTCAACATGTAGAGTGGTGGTGGGTGCTGGCTGTCACCTGGGATCTCAGCAGAGGCCCTTGACGAGAACACTTGTGTGGCCTTTCCTCGTGGTCTGGGCTTCCTCCAGGCATGTTGACTGGGTTCCCAGGGTGAATGTCCCCAGAGAGAGCCAGGTGGGAAGCTGTGTCACTTTTTCTAACCCAGCTTCTGAAGTCAGTCATTTCTGCTGCATTCTGTTTCTTGCAAGTGAATTCCTAAGGTCATGTCACCTTCAGAGAAAGGAAATAACATTTCTCTTCTTTTTTTTTTTTTTTTTGAGACGAAGTTTCGCTCATTTCCCAGGCTGGAGTGCAGTGGCACAATCTCGGCTCACTGCAACCTCTGCCTCCTGGGTTCAAGCGATTGTCCTGGCCTTAGCGTCCCGAGTAGCTGGGATTACAGGCATGTGCCACCAGGCGTGGCTAATTTTGTATTTTTAGTAGAGATGGGGTTTCTCCATGTTGGTCAGTCTGGTCTTCATCTCCCGACCTCAGACGATCTGCCCCCCTCGATCTCAAAGTGCTGGGATTATAGGTGTGAGCCACCCCACCTGGCCTACATTTCTCTTCTTGATGGGAAGGAGGGTGTGTCAAAGACTGCAGGCATTTTAAAACCACCATCACACCTGCACCTCTGGGCCCCAGAGAACTGCCTTAGTTGTTAGTTGAATCGGCAAAGTCCCTGTTCTGAACTGGCCTTTGGACTCCCAGGCAGTGGTGGGGGGAAGTAGTGAGAAACTTCTCTCTGGTTCCTGAGTTTCTGCAGTTAATGTCCCGCTAGCGTAAACTGCATTTTTTAGCATAGCTTTCTTCTGAGAACATTATTGTCAATCTGATAAGTGGCTCAGTTTTGCAGGTCAAATAAACATGGGAAGGGAAATGCAAATAGAAGAGCTGTGTTTCTCTACAGGTTTTTAATGTTGGAATTTCAGTAAGGAGACCAGTTTTCAAGGCTTCTTTAGGATCGATTTTAATGAGTTTTCTGAAAGCCAAGCAGAATGGCTGTGGATTTGAGTCTGAGAAGTAAAGTGCATCTGTGGTGGAGTGAATGCTATAATGCGGTGTTGCTATGGAGACTGGAGATTAGCATTTTGGGCCTAGGCATGACAGTCATTTGTCACCCCCTGGTCCCCTTGTCCCCTCATCCTGCAGCTAAGGCTGCATTAACCAAAGGCACAGACATGCCCCAGTTTAATTTAATTCTAGACTCACGCGTTGTTTTAAATGAAGCGGCTGAGTGATGTTGTTCTATGTGTCTTGATAGGAATTTTTCATAGATAAAGGGAAATTGCCATAAGCTTTTAAAGAAGGCAAGAAAGGTGCTTGCAGCAGAAACTTCCCTCAAAAGGAATTACATTTGAAATATTGCGTAGAATAAAAAGTTAGACTGACAATATAGTAACATCGGATTATTGTTTTCACCTAGTTACTTAAAAAGGATATAGAAATAGTATCTTTGGCTTTTCTAGCATGAATTTTTTTTTTCTTTTTTTTTTTGAGATAGAGCCTCGCTCTTGTTGTCCAGGCTGGAGTGTAGTGGCACGATTCTGCTCACTGTAACCTCTGCCTCCTGGGTTCAAGCTATTCTTCTGCCTCAGCCTCCCGAGTAGCTGTGACTACAGGCGTGCACCACCACACCCAGCTAATTTTTGTATTTTTAGTAGAGACAGGGCTTCACCGTGTTGGCCAGGATGGTCTCGATCTCTTGACCTCGTGACCTGACTGCCTTGGGCTCCCAAAGTGCTGGGATTATAGGAGTGAGCCACTGTGCCCAGCCTCTAGTGTGAATTGATTCAACCCTTTTAGAAAATGAGCAATTGATCATTTTTCTGGAGTTTAGAGCCCTAAACAGCATTTAAAAAAATAATGTCATATTCATAAGTTATGTTTTAACTTTCTTCATCCAATATCTGTTGATTAGTGAAATAGCAAAGAGGCAATTTTTATCTGAATACAAAGAGGAAAGAGTATATCATTATAAAGATAGAGTGGTTAATTTTAGGTTTTTATAGTGGGTGAGGAAAACAATTCTATATTTAAAAGTTGATCATTTTGTCTTGAGGCAGCCAATTAAAGTCCCATTTACCCTTTAAAAAAAATGCGGCACCCTAAGTGAAGCAGAAAGGTTAAAAAAGAAAGCTTGAGTGGCAGGGGAGAGAGTTATATCACTCTTATGTCAGTAGTTTTGGATATGAAGAGTCTCAATAAATTTCGCTGGCGTGACTAAGACGGTTTATTCAAGAAATATGAAGGTTCTAATAAGACATCTCCATTAAAATTTGAGGTCTTGCCGGGCACAGTGGCTCAAGCCTGTAATCCCAGCACTTTGGGAGGCCGAGGCAGGTGGATCACGAGGTCAAGAGATCGAGACCATCTTGGTCAACATGGTGAAACCCCGTCTCTACTGAAAATACAAAACATTAGCTGGGCATGGTGGCACGTGCTTGTAGTCCCAGCTACTCAGGAGGTTGAGGCAGGAGAATTGCCTGAACCCAGGGGGCGGAGGTTGCGGTGAGCCGAGATCGCGCCATTGCACTCCAGCCTGGGTAACGAGTGAAACTCCATCTCAAAAAAAAAAAAAAATGTTGAGGTCTTGCCACTAGGCATGGTGGTTCATGCCTATAATCCCGGCACTGTGGGAGGCTGAGGTGGGAGAACAGCTTGAGGCCAGGAGTTTGCGACCAGCCTGGCCAACAATGTGAGACCCTATTGCTACAAAAACTAAAAATAAAATAAAATAAAATAACCGAGTGTGGTGATGCAGCCCTGAACTACTCTCAGCTATTCAGGAGGCTGAGAGGGAAGGTTTCTTTGAGCCCAGGAGTTGCAGTGAGCTGTGATCACACCACTGCACTAGTTTGGGTGACAAAGCCAGACTCCATCTCAAAAAAAAAAAAAAGAAGTTGAGGTCTTGCATAGCAAGGCATCTTGGCTTAGTTGTTCTTGTCTCATAAAACTTTTGACAGGGAAAATAGAAAGTACTGTTTAATAATCTGAAATAAAGTTGATGTGTTTGAGCTGTCACCCAAATAGCTTCTAGTCATGGACAGTTCTTGTTTGTAGCTAGTTAAGATATCTGCAAGGTGATATCTCCGGGTAGCAGGCTATTCTCCTAAAGAGCGTACAATCGTCCCTCAGTATCTACAGGGATTGCTTCCAGGACCCCCACAGATAATCAAAATCCACAGATGCTTAAGTCCTTTATATAAAATGGCATGCTGTTTGCATATAACCATTTTTATTTATTTATTTATTTATTTATTTTTGAGACGGAGTTTTGCTCTTGTTACCCAGGCTGGAGTGCAATGGCGCGATCTTGGCTCACTGCAACCTCCGCCTCCTGGGTTCAGGCAATTCTCCTGCCTCAGCCTCCTGAGTAGCCGGGACTATAGGCACGCGCCACCATGCCCAGCTAATTTTTTGTATTTTTAGTAGAGACGAGGTTTCACCATGTTGACCAGGATGGTCTCGATCCCTTGACCTCGTGATCCACCCGCCTCAGCCTCCCAAAGTGCTGGGGTTACAGGCGTGAGCCACCATGCCCGGCCATTTATTTTTTTTTGAGACGGATTCTCACCGTGTTGCCCAGGCTGGAGTGCAATGGCACAATCTCAGCTCACCGCAACCTCCACCTCCTGGGTACATGCAATTCTCCTGCCTCAGCCTCCTGAGTAGCTGGCATTACAGGCATCCAGCACCACACCCGGCTAATTTTTGTATTTTTAGTAGAGTTGGGGTTTCACCATGTTGGCCAGGCTGGCTTCGAACTCCTGACCTCAAGAGATCCACCCGCCTCGGCCTCCCAAAGTGTTGGGATTACAGGTGTGAGCCACCGCGCCCAGCCACTATTTGCATATAACCTACACACATCCTCCCATATACATTAAAATCATCTCTGTAGTACATATACCTAATGCAGTATAAACGCTGGGTATATTGTTGTCATACTGTTTTGTTTATGATGTGAAAATGACATGAAAAAAAGTCTGTATCTGTTCAGCTCAGGTGCTTTTCTCCTCAAATGTTTTCAATTTGAGGTTGTTGAATCCGTAGATGCAGTACCCATGGATGTGGTGTCCTGACTGTATTTGAAAATGGTTACAAACATTTCAGTCCTATTGCCTCCTTCTCTCATTCCAATAGGCTGTAGCAGCCTTTTATCCCTGAGATGTACCACACTTTGAAATTGTCATAAATTCTGATTCTGGGTTCCCAAGGCAAAAATTCCACAGATAATCTTATGTTTAGTTAATTGCAGAATGAGCTTTTTGGGGGATGGGTTCCTTTGTGCAGTCTCCTTTACAGAGGGACTTCTTTGGGGACATTCACATTGGTGATTTGGGAGGTCATTGGGCCTAGCTAATGGGTCTTGGTACTTGATTCATCGTGTATCACTTGGTCTGTGTTGAGAAAGCTTGCATAGATATTCTTCAATACTTAACCACAACATGGGATTATGAATAGTATTCTATGGAATTTTCAACATTGAAAGTTTTAGCTTATCTAATTTTGAACTATATATATATATATGAAAAACTTTATTTGTATTTATTTACTTTTTTCAGACAGCTCTATTGCTCAGGCTGGAGAACAGAGGTGTGATTTTGGCTCAGTGCAACCTCTGGCTCCTGGGTTCAAGCGATTCTAGTGCCTCAGCCACCCGAGTAGCTGGGATTACAGGTGCATGCCACTATGTCCAGCTAATTTTGTATGAGATGGGGTTTCACCATGTTGGCCAAGCTGGTCTTGAACTCCTGGCTTCAAGCGATTCACCTACATTGGCCTCCCGAAGTGCTGGGATTATAGGTGTGAGCCACCACACCCCTCCTAAAAAATTTTTTTGTTTGTTTTGAGATGAAGTCTGGCTTTGTTGCCCAGCCTGGAGTGCAGTGGCGTGATTTTGGCTCACTGCAACCTCCTCCTCCTCGGTTAAACCAATTCCCCTACCTCAGCCTCCCAAGTAGCTGGGATTACAGAAGTGTACCACCATGCACTGCTAATTTTTGTCTGTTTAATAGAGATGGAGTTTCCCCATGTTGGCCAGGCTGGTGTCAAACTCCTGACCTCAGGTGATCTGCCTGCCTCAGCCTCCCCAAGTGTTGGGATTACAGGTGTGAGCCACCATGCTCAGCTGAGAAACTTTAATACTAGTACAAATTTAACACATCCTAAGAGTCAGAAGGTAGTGACCCCTTTTCCCTAATAATGTTTAAGGAGAGTCTTGATAAATGATTTTCAGTGACATTCTCAGGGTATTCAAGTACTGGATGTAAATTCATGTCAGGTGATTTTTTTTTTTCTTTTTCGAGACAGAGATTTACACTCATTGCCCAGGCTGGAGTGCAATGGTGCGATCTCGGCTCACTACAACCTCTGCCTCCCAGGTTCAAGAGATTCTCCTGCCTCAGCTTCCCAAGTAGCTGGGATTACAAGCATGCACCATCACATCCTACTAATTTTGTATTTTTGGTAGAGATGGGGTTTCACCATGTTGGCCAGGTGGAGTCAAACTCCTGATCTCAGGTGATCCATCCACCTTGGCCTCCCAAAGTGCCGGGATTACAGGTATGAGCCACTGCTCCCGGCAAATGCCAGGTGACTTTTTAAAGTTATCTTTCAATACTGAGATTTGTGGATGTTGAATAATAATAAATAGTTCAGTATCATTGATATTTTGAGTTTTAATAGTAAAAATATTTTAGTTCTGTACATAAACAATAATGAAACATGAAAGTTTAAAATACAATTTGAATGTAGGTTTTTAGGACAAAAATTAGGAAGAATGGATAACAGGTTTTCTCAAACCTGTGGTGTGCATCAGAGCCATTGGGGAGTTTGTTGAATATTTGTGGATGATTCTGATATATTTCTGAGCTTGCATGCCACTCTGCTTTAGGATGGAACTTTCCTACCTCTTTCAAAAGTTACCTACTTGTATAGAAATGTATTTACAAAGCCTTTCACCCCTCTCCATGAAATAAAATAGTAGTAATAGCTACCACTATTGATCACCTTCTCTGGGCCAGCCATTGTGGTAGACACTTTGAATGTATTTTTTTTTTTTTTTTTTTTTT